GTATTTCGTCCACCCTCTTGCACTCCCTTGATATGTAGGAGAAAGTCCTGGGACTTGCTGACCCAAGAGAAAGTATAGCGACCCAAGGGAGAGACCTGAACTAGATCTAAAACATGAAGCCAAGTCCCATCAACCAAAGGCCTGTACCTGAGCCACCCTCACCATCCGTAAGTGAGAAAAATTAGCCCTTGTGAGGAGCCGAGGCTTTGGAGGGGGTGGTTTGCAGCATCACCCCACAGTGGCTAATAACCCATCGAGGGCCAATAAGCAGGAGGGTGTGAGTGGCCTGGCAGGGTACTGTGTGTTTTTCTCCACTGTGCTGATGAAGGACAGCTGGTTTGCTTCCTGGCTGCCAGGAGGGGAGCTGTTCTGCTGTACCCATCCGGCCATGGTGTTCTGCCCCACCACAGGCCAATAGCAAAGGAGCCAGCCAACCATGGACTAAATCCTCTGAAACTATGAGCCAAAATAAACCTTTCAAGTTGATTTTCTCATGCATTTTGTCACAGTGAGGAAAAGCTGACTGATATACACCCTAGTCTTAGAAAGCTGGTGGAGGCTCAGACCTGGGGCCCTGGAGCCCAGCACACATGGGCCTGGCTCCCTGGACTAGCAGCAAGTCAGTCACCAGCAAGTCCACATCTCTGAAATCAGTTTTTCTTTGCAAAGGGATACAAAAGCCTTTCATCACGAAGTTTGACCAGAGTCACGTAGGGATACCTGTGATGGCTACTAGCTCAGTCTGAGTATTCCTCCCGTCCAGGACCCTCGTAGGTCAGCCCAGCCAGAGTCTTGATTCCCAGGGTTGAGGGCCCTGCCACTTTCCAGTGATACAAACAGGGCTCCTTCTTGGGTGTGTCTTTTTCTTTCCTTTGGAAAACTGGCTATGTAATTTGTAGGGCCTGATGCAAAACAAACAAACAAACAACAACAACAAAACACTGGACCCAGATGGCAATAGTGGAGCATGCAACAGAACTTGGGGCCAACGGTGGCAACATCGTCACACACCCAGGAGGACAGCCTGGGTCCTCCCTGGGAACAGCTTGTCCTGCAGGCTGCACATAGAATCATAGCTCTGCAGATGCTGCTCTAATTTGGATCTGGAATGTCCTCCAAAGGTCCATGGGTTAGATTAGGTCATCACCTTGGCATCATTGCACCCTGAGGTGTTCTGCAATGTGTTCCCGCCCTAGCAATAGGGCCAAGCAACCATGGCAGAAACCTTGAAAACTGTGAGCCCAAATAAACCTTTCCTCTTTTTAATTATCTCAGGTGTTCTGTCACAGTGAGGAACACTGACTAACACAGATGCCCAGCCCCCTCTCGGAGATTCCACAACCAAAGAGCTTCCCAGGGGATTGCAGCAGATGGGCACAGCTGGCATTCACTGGCCTTGGGGGCTGCCATGGGCCACCATGCCCAAGGGGCAGAGGTGCCCTCAAAAAATCCCTGAGAAGACCCAAATGCTGGTCTATGGACAGCTTGTGCATGTGTGTGTGTAGGGGGTGCGCTCAGGACTTGTGCACCAGGTTTCCATGTAGAAAAAGCTGCCGCCAACCTGAGCCTGCATTACCACCCAGGCGACAGACAGCACTGGTGGCTCCAGTATCCCCTTCCGGGTCGTCCCCGGCATAGCCGCTCACTCCAGAGGGCGCTGCCTGCCTTTGCCACTGCTCTGCAGTCAGGTGGGGCGGGGGCAGATGCTGATGGGTGCCAGTAGTGTCAACAGGAGGGAGCTCACCCTGCTCCTGGGGGGACCTCAGGCTGCCACCCTGGACCCCATGATGAGGAGGCAGGGTGCGGGGAGAGGTAGACAAACCACGATCCCCTAACCATCCCAAGCTGCGGTACTAGTTCTCAGCTATTCTTTCCTCCCCACCCCCCACAAAAGAAAGAGGGGTGGGGGGAGGGCACACAGGGGACCAACTTCCGTTTTTGTTTTAGGCCAGTAGGTTTCATCATTAGGCCAGAAGCCCGACAGCCCATTTTACAGATGGCCAAGGGAGAATCAGAGGTAAGATCCGCGGCTGGACGTCAGCCGGAGAGTGCTGCCAGCCGCAAACTCGGCCTCCTCCTCCAGCCCCTCCAGCCATCATGGAGGGCAGCTTCCAGGAGGCTACCAGGCGCGGGGGAAGCCAGGAGGCGGCGCTCAAAGGGTGCACACTTTGTTAGGAGCTGAAAAGCTCTGGGCTGGAGGGCAGCTCGGTGCCGATGGCGGTGGTCATTCACGGTGAGCATCACAGATGCCCTCGTCTATTCTCCCTGTGCACGCGGAATACATGCACTACTTGTCAAGTGTTTTTAGGAGGCGGCTTCTTTAGAACTGTCATGTCACCTCGCCGCCATGCTGCCTCCCTAACAGCACTGGACTGTGGTCAAGGTCATCCTTTCAGGTGCCACACCTGGACAAGGGACAGGGTAGGGACTGCAGTGGGCAAGATGGCCTCAGACCAGCAGTGAAGGAGGCGCCAGATCTCAGTGACCAAGGGAACACTGAAAGGTCATTGCTTCAAAAACCAAAATGCAAAGCGGTCCACAAACCAACCTGTGAATTTTAAATAAAGGTAGCCTCCCTCTCCTCCACGCCGAGTCCCACCTCACAGGACAACCTGCGATGACCTGTTAAGGAGAACAAAGTGGTGACAGGTGGGGCTATTTATTGTTTTCTGATTTAAAAAATATATATTGCATTAAAATACTGAGTCTTGGTGACCGAGTCTCTCCTGTCCCCTTGAATCTGGACCCGAGGGGAGTGTCTCTCACGTCTCATCCCAGTTCCAGCCCTGGGGCAGCCTGACACAATGAAGTCCAGGTAAAGATCTGGCCCAAGCTGGGCAAGACGGCACACACCTGTGGTCCCAGTGACGTGGGAGGCGGAGCGAGGAGAGGATCACAGGTTCCAGGCCAGCTTGGAACTCAATGTTTCCAAATAAAAAGGGCTGAGGATTTAGCTCGGTGGCAAAGAGCCCTGGGTTCAATCTGGTTCACTTAGGACTCCAGCTGATCCCAGTGGCAACAGGGATTGAGGTTGGTGCTTTTTTCTAAAGAAATGAATTCAAGGACAAATAAAAATTCCTGTTCCATAGTATCTAGAAGGCAGCAAGAAACCACCAGCAAAGAAGCAAGACTCTTCACTGGAGATTTCACAGCTGAGCCAAAAAAAAGTCAAGAAGGATCCAGTCCTTCCTAGTACCTCACCCGACACTCACCTGTCTGTGGCACTAAGCAAAGCCTTCTTTAAAGTGGCCACAGAAGTACGCAGTTCTTAACATGTACCCCGCTGCCATGTTGCTTGTACTTGAGGCTCAGCAAACTATGGCCTCCATCCAAACCATGCTCTGTTAATGCAGACACAAGTTTACTGCTGCGCAGCCCATTCTGTGCCCATTCTCTGCAGAGGCTTTGGTTACAATGGCGGCAGAGTGGGGTGATCGTGCCACTGCAGCAGAAGGGAGCAGACTGGGCAGTGTTCGCAGGGAATGGTGCCGACAAAGCCCCGAACATTTACTACCTGATCCTTTCCTGAAAAAGTTTGCAACGCCTGGTCCAAGTGAAGTCAAAGGCAAACAAACTCATCGACTTCCTCTTCCAGAGTGACTCTACAAACTAGGGCTGGTGGGGAAATGGCATCTCCGTCGCATCTGTAGCCCTCACTACTGAAGCGCCTTCTCAGTTCTACTCCAAGATTAGCAATGGTCTCATCCAGCCGGTGCATAGCCAGTTCACTCTGGGTGACTTTTATTTAACCTTACCAACTGCCACCTTCTAATTTCCTTGCCAATAAAGCAGGGGCAAAACCATCCCTGCTCCTGGAAGGTTCCTGTCCTATGTGTCCCTCTTAGCTCACTTGTCTCTGAATCCTCACCTGTCTCAAAATTTTCTAAAATTTATTACAGTTTTAAACAGTCTTCTCTAACTCAGCCTTATTCTCTTCAGCTACATTCTCAGCTTTATGCAAATCCTTATCTGTGGCTCTGCCAGAAAGCTCCGCCTGTTTTAGTGTGCTCCAGAAGTTGCCAGGAAGGTCTAGCCTATCAGGACCTTGGTCCACCCAACCCCCCCCCCCATTGTGAAGTTTTATTGGAAAACAAATACATTTGCTCTTTTCTCATTGTTTTTGGTTATTTTTGTGCTAAAACCCTTGGCTACAAAATGCAAAAAAAAAAAAAAAAAAAAAAAAGACTTTATAGTTCCATGAAGCCCGAAATATTTAATACCCAGCCCTAAACTTCTGCTCACCTGTGGCTCTGAGATTCCAAATTTGCTAAGTGATACCAGATTGGATCAAATGCCCTTGAAGTCCACAAAGCTGTTAACAAAAAGCTGTCGATAAAAGGACAGTCATCTTTCCTGTTTATCTGAAGAGGTATAACTTCGAAGTACAAGAGGCGTTTGTGATTTTGATCCGAGTTCCCACTCAAGAGGTCAACCACCTTCTATTTCCAGAAATGCAGATAAGACACATGACGAATGCAGGGAAGTAATAGTTGTCCAATCTGCACAACAGCACCAGCATTCAGCTGCCCAACATTCTTCCAACCCCAAACAATTGTTCCAGAGCAAAGCAATGATGAATTCTATCATGGGGAGTTGCTATCATTTTAATCTTTTCAGACACTACCTGCTGTAGAACTTAAATAGAGTCAGGGTTATTCAAACTGCTGTCATAAAATAACCCATATACCTTTTGCTATCTTATGAGTGAAATTATGAAAATTTGCCATCACATCCTTTTTTTCTAGTTTATCAACAGTAGATTAGTCCACTTCAAAAACATACCTGTTTGGGGCTGAGGTTGTAGCTCAGTGGTAGAGCACTTACCTAGCATGTGTGAGGCCCTGGGTTCGATCCCCAGCACCACATTAAAAATAAATAAATAAATAAATAAATAAATAAAGCATTGTGTCCATCTACAATTAAAAATATTTAAAACTAACAAACAACAACAACAACAACAACAAATCCCCCCAAACAAAAAACATACCTGTTTGGCTGAATGAGGGCACCCAAGACTTTATATTAAACAAAGTTTGTATTGAAAGGAAAGACACTGAAGTAGACAAACAATGAGCTCTGGATAAATGATATATCCACAGGGATCCTCTAGCCTACTGAGTGTCAACCCCAGGACAAGATCTGCTTATAAGGGTTAGATTTTCACCTGTATCATTTAGCAAACACCAAGTGCATTTTGTGCTGCGAAAAACCTCAGCTTAGGCTGTTCCAAACATCTCACATCCCAGAACCAGGTCCAGGGCTTACCACCCTGCCACTTTTCTTTCTGACACAACTCTTCTGTTGTTCAAATTCTACCGCCCACCGCACAGGCTGTGCTACCATTAGCTTGATCTTTGGCGCCACCTCCAGGTCAAACTGCATTTTGCATCACTGCAAGGCTAAATCCCAAGTGCATGGGATTTATCATTAAGTCACTGAATGGATGGGGCTCCGGAAGCCTTTCCTCTACCATAAACCGAGTATGGAGGAATGTAAAGAAAAATTGTGTTTCTCTTCTGTCACTCTACAGATGAGCCTGCCTTTTTATTGTAAAATAGATAAAAGAAACCACACAAATGTATAAGGCAGATGCTCTTACGATCACTACCCAGGTTAAGAAATATAACTTTCCCAGTCCCCCCATACCCTCCACATATCCTATCCTCCACTTAACCCTCCCCACTCTACAGATTAGTTCGGTTTTAGTTTTCTATGTCCTCTAACTAGCTGAACAAGTCCATCAGGGATGGGTCAGTTTTAAAGTCGGAGTCCATCATGGACAAGTCTGTCTGCTGGATGGAGCAGACTCCGTGGTCCCCACCTTTGAACAGCCCAGGCAAACTGCTCAGGCAGTGTCAAGGGCAGTCTCCGTGGTGTGGCTCGGGCAACGCATGTTCCCATGTTAAAGTTGCTTCAACCTCGGCTGCTGGAGGCCCCGGGAGGCTGGGACAGCCAGCTCCCCAATGGATGGACAGCCCACCCTGGCTGCACTAGAGGTCATGGCTGGGCTCCAGGGGGGCCTCCAGCTGTCCCACAGAGACCAGGGGGCCGAGCTGTCCCGAGGCGCTGCTTTCAGGCGGGAAGGTGACCAAGTCCGAGTTCTTGTTTTCACTCTGGTCGCTGTGCTGCTTTTTATGGCATCTCAGGGAGTCGTCCCTGACGAAGGAGGCACCGCAGGTCTCGCAGCGGAAGGCCCTCTGGGTCACGATCTTGGCCATCTGGTGGGCACCGCTCTCCCTGAGCCCTTCCCTGCCTTGCGGGGCCCTGTTCTCGGTCTTGGCCTCATCCCTGTGCAGCTTGTCGATGTGCTTGGCCAGGCTGCTGGGCCGCTTGGTGTCGAAGCTGCAGAAGTCACATTTGAAGGGACGGTCTTTGCAGTGGACCCTGCTGTGCACGCGCAGGGCCGCGGCGCTGGAGCAGGAATAGCTGCACTCGGGGCACTTCTCGGGGTGGTCGGCCTGGTGCAGCCGGCTGTGCTCCAGGAGGTCGGCCCGGTCCCGGCCCTGGAAGGCGCAGTGCAGACACTTGAAGGTGTGCTTGATGCGGATGTGCGACTTGAGGTTCGCCTTCATGGTGCAGCGCACGTCGCAGAACTCACACTTGAAAGGCTTCTCCCCCGAGTGCACGATCATGTGCCTTTTCAAGTCCGAGCTGATTTTGAACTTGGCGCTACAGAGCCAGCACTGGAAGGGGGTGTCCCCTAGCAACGGAAGGTGCGTTTCCATTAGAGCAGGCAGCAAACAGAACTCCCCCAAACATGCATCGGCACACCTGGCCGCGGCCAGAAGACCCGGTCTTCTTAACTCCAACTATTGGCAACTTCTGAGAACATGCTTACCCTGGGTACCAACTGACCAAGCCCTCACAAAGAGCCTAGAGGACCATTACACCCATCTTACACGTGGGACAACTGAGGCTTGGGGGTCAAGTAGCAGGGATTTGATTGTGGACCTCATGGCCTCCAAATCTACTCTGGATGACAGTTGAGTTTTATCGAAACTCTTTAACTGACATCTTGGAATTGAAAATGGAAGAAGAGGTGAGGTGTAGGTCACATGCATTTTCCAAATAAAGGTAAGATTTAGGAACAGGCTGACCATAGTGTTTATATTACAATCAGTTATTTGGTTTGTATTACTAGTTGAAAGCTTTAAAAGTTTTTTTAATTACAGATTTAGTTTTATGTATAAATTCACAGATTACTGCAGTAGTAGGGGCAGGGACACATGACGAAAAGCCATAGCCTCTTCTCTAGTCCCTCTGAGCAAGGATAAGAATGTCAACCATCCCAGCCAGCCAGCCACCTCCTGCAAGCTGTAGGCGATGGCTCCTGCCCTCTCAAGCTACCTCCTAAAGGTAACAGGGTTTAGTCCATCCGAGTGAGTTTCGGTGAGGATCCCTCTCCCCTCCCCATTAACTCCTCACTTTGTAGAAGCAGCTTTATTTGTACATTTAAGTTCAAAAACGTTTCCATTTTATCCTGTGAATTTCCATACGTTAGTCACATTCAGATTTCAACTCTGGAACCAAACTACAAATAATTTAAATGAGGACAGAGTATGTGAAATTTGTCAGAGTCAAAGATGGCACCAGAATAACAACTATCTTCTTATAGGGCCATCGTCACACCCAGACCAGTGGCTAGTGTCAATGATCATCAAGGTTAAGCTGTTCTTTCCTTTACATGCTCATTTTTGGTCACTACTTAGCTTGGTTCTTGATTGGGGTGGTTTTGGGGTAAGAAAAAAACAAAAAACAAAAAAAACCCCTCACATAATATCGAAAGTCATCCAGTCTCTTAATTATATACTTTTCATGTGATGAAAAAAAAATGCTTTTGTGAATTTTCCCTACCCCTCAATGTTCTGTTCATGTATCATCCTGATACCTCTCCTTGCTGCAATCCCAGGTAGCCATACTCGGTCACACACAATATATTTCATGACACTGTGTTTCCTCCCTTTTTTTGCTACAAGAGTATCTTCTAGTAACTTCCACTTTGGTGGCTGGGAGAACAGTCTTGAATCCTTACATTTACTTCTATTTCACACTCATACACAAGACAGTTTAGCTGGGTACAGAATTCTAAGGTCAAAATCATTTCTCAACTTTGAGGGTGAGTTTCACCATTTCTAGGAGGCAATCCTGCTGAGAAGTCTTTCTAGGTATGGCTCTTCCATTCCAACTCCCTTCCGCCTGGTTGGCATCTTGTGAGCCCTGTCATTCTCCTGGCCCCTTATAATTGTGGGATTCTTTTAGTTGCTCATTTGATTTTCTCACTTCTATTTCTTTTCTTCCTAGACCTCATCAGAACCCCACATTACAGTTTTTATTCTCAGTTCTCTAGCCCAATTTCCTCCACTCATCACTGGGAAATTTCGTTAACCTTATCGCTAATAGCTCTGGGTTTAATTCATGTCTTTGTTCTATCTTTTCATAGAGCTCTAATGTTCTAGATGGAACATTTTTGCTAGTTGTTGACAGCAAACAGAAAGCAAACATTTTTTTTTTTTTGTCTATTGCCTAAGGAGCCTCTTACTTTTGGGATTCGTTATTGGTTACAGTTGGCACATTTCATGTCATATATTTCTTTCAAATGGCTCACAATCCTTGGCTGACCATATTTAGAAAGATAGACTGGTTTAAGGATGAGAACTTGATGCCTGCTTCTGAGCAGATTGACTGGTTTTTGTATGGGTGTTGGCTTCTCCCCTGAGCTTTGGGGCCTTGGCTATCTCCTTGTCCACTTGGCTAACTCCATGTCCAGAGCTCGAAGGGCATTCAGACATTGTGGCTCTCACCTTCATGGCTGCCTGCAACTTGGATACAGCTCTCTTTAGTCAATTTTAAATGTTTGTATTTTCCTATCTGCTTGATGCCATCCATAAACTCTTTAGAAATGCTCATCATGAGCCTCATTAAGAATGTTTCATCCCCCCAATTTTCTGTGCCACAATGGGTTGGTCCTATTTTTCTAGAATTTTAGTGGGGTCCACAGCAGGGAAGGAAAAGTTTCAAGAAGCCTGTGATTTGTTTGCAATTACATTCAACTGACTTTGCCACATCCCCCGGTTAAACCACACAAAGTCAAATACTGAAACGCCCAGTTTCCAGAGCCGATGTTTATTTGAGATACATCCTTTGTTGCTTGGCTGTCGTATTGAGTGCCCATCCCAACCTGTATTTCCGCAGGTAAGTTATAAAACTCAGCCGTCAGACTGTTTTACTGAAAGCTGTTGTTGTGGCAAAGAAAACCTTGACAAGTCACATAACCACAAACTCCAAATTCCTTTGCTTCTACCACCATGTCATTTAAAATTGCTGGTGTTTTAAGTAAAAGGAGGTTAAGAAATTAGAGAAAAGCCAGGTCCTGAGGTCTCTGGGCCAGACTTACCTGTGTGGGAGCGCAGGTGGACGGTGAGCTGGCTGGAGTTGCGGCTGGCATAGGGGCAGAGCTGGCATTTGTAGGGTCGCTCATCTGAATGGATCCGCAGGTGCTTCTTGAGGCTGCTGCTGTCCACAGCAGCATAGTCACACAGGTGACACTTGTGCGGTTTCACGCTGGTGTGACACCGCATGTGCATGGTCAGGTTGTCTTTCCGGCTGAAGCACTTGTCACAGAACTCACACTTGTGTGGTTTGTCTCCTTCAAACACATAAGGATTCAAGGTTTTAAGTGTCTACTAACCAGGAGGACGACACAGATTGAGGCAAATGGCCTCCACCTCCTTTCCCAAGGCCTGGAGACAGGGAGATCCTGACTGAAGGCTAAATCAGCACATTGGGAAAAAGAAGCATGCCATTCATTGATGGCTGAGAAACTGAGGAACCCTCAGGGAAAGGAGACAAAACTCAGATGGAAGCAAATCATAGGCTAGACTCTCTTCGGAAAAAGGGAGTGGTTACAGAAGTAGCCAGGACCAGGGCAGCAGGTATTGGGGGGGGGGGGGGCTCTGGCAGCTTTCTGGCTACTAGTTGAGAATGCTCAGGTGGACTTCTTCCTTTGCTGATGCCCTCCAGTATACCGTGACTGTCACCCAGGCTGGCAGTAAGTGAGGGTACTGAGGCCTGAGAAAGAGTGCAAGGCCTTGGCAGCTGGAGAGGCCCTGGTTAGCAGAGAACCCCATGTCCAGGACCTCTCCAGCCAGTACAGAGTTCCACCCCTGCAAGTACCCTTGGCTGATCCAATAAACATGAGATCCAAGACATGCCCTACTCAGAGCTTGCAGTTGTTAAAGCAAACAGGAGTTCTGAAATGATGGAAATAACCAGGGGAGGCAAAATAAGACTTATAAGTAGGCTGACTAGCAGAGAGGCACTCAGAGTCACTGGTAATGATGGCAGGAGAAAACCCTTATGTGCACACGGTGGTCCACCCAGGACGTCCCCAAGAACCACCAGGAACATTAGAGTAGAGGGGCCGACAGCAAGGAGCTGCAGCCTACCCACACACCATTCCTTTTTTGTTGTTGTTACCGTTACCGGGGATTGGACCCAGGGGCACTCGACCACTGAGCCACATCCCAGCCCTATTTTGTATTATATTTGGAGACAGGGTCTCACTGAGTTGCTTAGCATCTCATGGTTGCTGAGGCTGGCCTTGAACTCGTGATCCTCCTGCCTCAGCTTCCCGAGACACTGGGATTATAGGCGTGCATCACTGTGCCCAGCTACACACAGACCATTTTAAAATATCTTTGCATGACAGTGTTTATGTCTTTCTTGCTGGCTCTCTCCCAACCCCAGTCTTCACCCTAATACAACCATAGTCTCATCTGAACTGGCAGCTAGGGAAGGAGGGTGGAGTAATGGTTAAATGAACTGAGGTATATGGTGTTCTGTAATTCACTAACTTCGGCCAGCCTGATGAATAAAATATAGTATCCTCATCAAACTTGAACATCATTGCTTACGGCCTTTGACACATGACAACCATGTAGTCTGGACATTCTGTCCTGTTATAAGTTTTAATTGATTTTCTCCTCCAGCTTATTTGCATGAAAGACAGCCTTGTCCTCCTAGTTACTGGCTTAAGGTTGCACATACTCCACTTGGAATGGAGAGGTGACATCATCCTGATTGACTGCTGACTGGGTCATATCTATCCTCCCAACGATCTGACACGCCCCTTGCTCAGGTGCTCCTCCCCCACCCGTTTCCAGCCTTCTTTTTTTGTGGTGCTGGGAATTGAACCCAGGCCCTTGCGCTTGTGAGGCAAGTGCTCCCCCACTGAGCTACATCCCAGCACTCCACACAACCCCCCCCCCCCCCCCCCCCATTTATCACAGCACTTGAATTTCAGCTCTGGGGCATTTCAGTTTCGTAGAAAGTACACGTGGGGCTGTTGTCTAAGAATGTAGCAGCTTTTGTGTCTTCTCCCTTCCAGATGGATTCTGTTGCAGGGAAGGCAGGGGGTGCTGGTACCGAAGCAGAGGTGGCAAAGGGAATTCATTCTGGCACTGTACGTTCAAACAAGGCTTTATTCACTTTTCAATGGAGTGTTTAAAAAACTGGAAAATGAAAGCCATGTGCGTAAATATACACACACAGAGGCGTATTTGCTGATACACTCACTGTGTGAGAGAATAAGACGTTTTAAAATTCTCCATTCAGAAATAATTCCTGTTAACATGATGCTTTTATTCTCAAGCTTTTGCTTGGGACACAGTAGGAATAAACATATTTTTAAAAAATATTTTTTAGTTGTGGATGGACACAATACCTTTATTATTTTTATGTGGTGCCGGGATGGAACCTGGTGCCTCACGCATGCGCGGCAAGCGCTCCACCCCTGGGCCACAACCTCGGCCCCAGAGCATATTTTTATTCTGCTTTTCTCCCTCTCTACAGGGCATCCCATTTCTATTATGTATTTCAAAATTATTTCATTTTTCTTCCTCTGGAATGAACTGGCATTTAAGGTATTAAAATACTAACGTAACCTCAGAATGAAGGTCAATGAAAAGGTGAACCCATGTAGGCTCAAGGCCCGGCTTTCCAGGACCTCCCCAACGTGACCACAGCCAGTATATTCCTCCGCCCTCCTGGGGGACAGGTCTCCTGCAGGGCTGCGCCCTGGGCACCGGGCACACGGTCTAGCTGCCCATACGCGCCCTACACCCTCTTTACACCTGCCAGCCAAACTAGCTGCCTGCTCTCCAGGAGAGTCAGTGGTGCGGGGGTCGGAGACTTCCTCGCGAGTCTGGGGTCCAGTGTATTTCCATTCTACTAAACACGGCTTATCTTTGTCACTGTTGACATACGTGCTGACATAGAGCAGGGTGGGGCAGACCTGCTGGCGTCTTCACCTGGATCAGGCGGTAGCACCAGCTCTGCAGGCCACGGCCACGTGCCCCCAGGAAGAGAGTCAGGTCCACTCAGAGCGCAGCGAGGAAGCAGTAAAAACAGACTCAGTCGCCCCCAGTAAGTTCTGCGTGATGAAGTGGGAAGCAAGCAAGAGGTGCTGCGGCAACCTGAAGTTCCTCTGTTGTCTAGGGAACATGCTTGTGTGACAGTCACACTGAAGCTGAGCTAGTGCTTTCCCCACATCACACCATTTTGATGAACGAACAACTGACAAGCCGTGATTTTTATTCAGTGTTTTTCATACTCAGTGTTTGGCAGACATTCTTAAAAATGAACTAAGTGGGGCCAGGCGTGGTGGTGCTCGTCTAATTCCAGGGGCTCCGGAGGCTGAGGCAGGAGGATCGCGAGTCCAACACCAGCCTCAGCAGCAATGGCAAGGTGCTAAGCAACTCAGAGAGGCCCCATCTCTAAATAAATTACAAAAAAAAAGAGGCTGGGGATGTGACTCAGTGGTTGAGTGCCCCCGAGTACCCTCCCCCACCTTGAACTAAGTGAGCCTGTTATCAAGGAAAATGACCCAGAGTACCATGAGGACTCTTGGGCTCTCTAGCTGTAGGATTCTGGAAGTCTGGTCTGATTCTTGGTTTCACAGCTTTTTTCAACCTATGGAACATGCCTAATTCACCACAAGGCTCCAAAAGTTTCACATCTCAGAGAATTTTGAATTTTTCCAATTAGGAATGCTCAACTGGTAAAGTCTCTGCAAATAACTGAAAATTAGAAAAACAAAACAAAACAAAAAACTCCAAAATCTGAAATATTTCTGTCCCAAGCATTTTGGATAAAGGATATTCAACCTGCACTTAGATCTTCTGAGAAGACATTAACAAGTGAATTTCCCCCCATGGCATAATGAAATGGGTCCATGTTTGGAAAAATTATGTAAACCGATAAACCAGCCTTTTCCAAATGACAAAATAAAGCATGGATAAGATTCAAAGTGCAAAATAGACCAATAGATTAGAATTCAGCAGTTTGCAAAAGTCCTTGATGGGGTTGCAGGTCCACACAGTGATTATTTCTAAGAAGCTACCATTTGCTGGGTCCTGGTACCCTCCCCTCCCTCACATCCAAGGCCTGCCTTCCTTACTAAACTGCTGAACATGTGCATGGGCACCCACCTGTGTGGATTCTTAGATGGCGGTCCAAGTCTTTCATGCCGTGAACAGTTTTGAAGTGGCACCCTGGAAGGGAAGACAGCACAGTTCTTAAAATACACACAGTCCCAACCATCTACCAGGGTTTGACTCGTGATTTTCAACTTCATGGCGGAGTGAGAGTGTACTCTCTCCATCATCGGTTTTCACTTTCCATCTGGTATTCAATAAGTTACCCACCCAAGACAGCTCTCGACTATAAAATAGGCTTCTGTTAGCCGACTGTGCCCAGCTGTAGGCTAAGGTAAGTGTTCTGAGACGACAGTTGGTAATTTAGGTGTATTTTCGACTTAGGATAGTTCAATGAATTCATCTAGAAGTGACCCCTCCCAAGTTAAGGGGCACCTGGGATTTCAGAATAGAAGCTACTATGAATCTGATGTTCTGTTGGGCGTGACAAGGAGCTCTGGATGCTCCATGACTTCTGGAGCACCCCCCCGCACCAAGACTATGTGTGGATATGGATTTTCACAGGTTGTGACCATGCCCATGCCTGGCACAGGGAAGGGGCTCCCGGTGCCAGGTGTACTATACCTGGATAGCAGCAGTTGAATGTCCTCTCTCCAAGGGTGGTGGCCGTTTGTTCCCTTGACTCTGATGGGGGTGCGATGGCAGGAGCCTTTTGGGTGTCACTGCCTTCAGCAGGCTTTGGAATGTGACTGTCTAGTTCTGAAGCTGAAATTGAGATATGAAGAGTCACTGAATTTCTTGACCACAACTACCAAGGCGAGTCTGAGATGTAGGTTTAGCTTATCACACTTTCCTTTACCTGGTTTTCTCCCATTTTTTTTTTTTTAAATTAGAGACTGAACCCATGGGTGCTTCACCACTGAGCCACATCTCCAGCCCTTTTTAAAAATTGGAGACAGGGTGTCACTAAGTTGCTTAGGGACTCACTAAATTGCTAAGGCTGGCCTTGAATTTGTAATCCTTCTGCCTCAGCCTCCCGAGTCACTGGGATTACAGGTGTGCACCCCTGTACCTGGCTTCCAAAAACATTTTAAAAAATGGAAGCCATGGACATTACAGTTTGTCTTGCAAAATTATTCTTCTTGTAACCACCAATTTCCTAGAAACACAGGTGACAGAGGGATTAACACCTGTGGCACAATTCCAACTCAAAGCCACTTAAGCACACTGCATATGACGTGAAGTCCTAGTCTTTAAAAACAATTTCCAATTTATCACAGGCTGATACTTTTGTCAAACATAATATGAATTACAAGGAAAATGATATAAAGGTCCAAACATTGTTATGATTAGATATGTCTGGAAGCTAGAGGCCTTGGCAATGTCAAGTGCAGGTTTTAAATGCTTCCACTTGATTTGATACTATTCCCCCAGCCCTGGGGATTAAACTCAGGGCGCCCTACCTCTGAGCCACATTCCCAGCCCTTTTATATTCTGAGAAAGGGCCTGGCTCTGCTGCTGAGCTGGCCTGGCACTTGGGATCCTCCTGCCTGAGCACCCCCACCCAGTAGCTGGGATGACAGGTTTTGTTTCAGTTCAACAGGCCCAGACCTTGCTTTGAGTATCATTTGCTCTCCAGCAAAAACCAGTTACACCAACAAACAATGTGAAGATTGAAGAGGTAAAACCACAGACGCAAGGACTTGAAATGAGGATCTAAAATATTAGAGCCTTACTGGGTCACACACTGTAAGATCCACTTAAGACAGAGAGAGTGTGCCGACTCCCTGAGAGCTTGGCAGAGTTGTAGATTTTAGGGGTGTGAAGATGAAATGAATTCAGCACATTCTCATGGTTTGGGGACGATTTTGACATGTTTCCAAGTGGTATGAAATATTCAGGGTAGAATAGTGGTATGCAGGAGGAATGTGATTGGCCATGTGGAGTTAATTGCTGCTGTTATATATGTTAAGCTGTGATTGTCTTTTTTTTTTTTTTTTTTTTTTTTTGTGGTGCTGGGGATTGAACCCAGGACCTTGGACATGCTAGGTGAGCACTCTACCACTGAGCCACCATCTCCAGCCCCATGAATCGTTAACTGTAGAAGTTGAGTAATGGGTGTGTCAGTTTGTGCCATTATTCTATTTGCAGAATGACTGAACCATATGAAATCGACATTCTTACCTGCAAAATGGTTAGATAAGCCTACGGGTGAGATTGACCCACATGAAGTTAAGAATTTCTATAACAAAGACTAAATAACTTTAATAAGCTTTTAAATAAGTTATTTAAGAATAAGTTACTTAAGTTCCTAAATAACTCAAAGGTGATTTATCTCCAAATAGACTGAAATCCAAGCAGGAGTGCTGTCAATGTGAGATTTTGAAAAACAAAAACAAAGAGATGTGGACTAGTTTATGAATTACAGGTCAAGGTCTGAGAACTTTTGGCTGCAGATTATAATAAAAGGTGGATTCTATCTTTAATGAGAGCTTTACCATTAGCAACCAAAAGCACACTGGTGTGGACTTCAGTCCTAGGAAGATAGTTTGTTCAGCTACGTGCTAGCTGCGTGACTACTGGCAAGTTACTTAACCTTTCTGAGCCTCAGTTCACTCATCTGTAGCAAGTGACAATTTGCATGCCCGAGAGTTGTACAGTTAAAGGAGATGAAAAACTGTCAGCTCTCAGGATAACATGTTGAGAAAATGCTCGCAGATACCTGGCTTCTGATGCCAAAGCGAGTAGAGCTATGACTGTCACATCCAAGCAGTTGGGTACCTGAAGCCCCGTAACAAGGGTCTGAACAAGTGATAGAGCCCATCAGCTCTCAAATGAGGACCATTTGGCAATGTCTGGGGACATGGTTGATTGTCACAATCTGTGTACATGCATGTTTGACAGGGGGTGAAGGCAGGGATGCGGCTGGACATACAACAATGTGTAGGACACCCCCTTCCCAAAAGAAGTGGCCTAAATGTCAACAGTGCCAACTAGTCTCATGTTAGTGATCCCAGTGGGATCCGACTTCCCCTGTGTCAGAATCACCTCAATCGGAGAGCTCATCTCAGACACAAAGACTAGGAGGTGGAGCTGGAGAGAGTCGGGGTAGATCCCAGGAATCTGAATTTTTAAGGTACTCCTTGTGAGGTTCTGTCAGAGTACTTTAAACCTGTGCTTCCCAAAGGGCAGTGGACAAAGCATCAGCACCACCTGGAGCTAGTAAAGAATGCAAAACCTCACACTCTATGTCATGTGTATCTTAAAAAAAAAGGCAGAACCTCAGGCCCCACCTCAGATCCACACCATCAGCCTGGACCCTTGCAGCATCCCTAGGAGACTCATGCATTCGAGGTCCGAGAAGCACTGAGGAACCCTGTGTCAACCAAGACTTTAATGACATTTAGCATTATAATGCAGTTTCCTATGTTCTGTTCTAGCTACTGATGACACAATTTTATGCATGGTGGCTTCCTTGGTTTAGACTTTGGAGACTTCTTAAATAAAGGTATAAAATGCCAGCATGCCCCGCACAGAGCAAGTTTTTAGCAAAGGATTAAGGATTCTATGGCTGACCAGCTGTTATCCCAGAGATTTCCAGGACTGCGGTGACTGTAGTGAGCATGCAGCTGGGACCCTTTGAAAGGCAGCTGTATGGATGCTTACGGGATGAAACATCTTTTCCATTTTAGTAAATTTCTGCAATCTGCACACATGTGCTCGCGTGCACCCCCCCACCACAGCCCATGTGTGGAATAACTCTCATCCAGTGGTTCCCAAACATAAGTGTGCATCAGAATCACCTAGAGAGCTTGTTAAGTCACAGATGGCTTGGGCCCCATCTCTAGAGCTCCTGACTCAGTAGGTCTAGGGTAGAACTGGTAGTTTTTTTTTTTTTTTTTATTTCTAACAAGTCCCCAGTTGATGCTGATACTGGTAGTCTGGGAATCACACTGAGAAATTCTGCTCCATGAAAAGGGAAGAAGCCCAGAGACCTTCAGGGTTACAGGGATGGAAGATTCCAGTCGACTGAAACCCACAGTGCCCCACCTATGCCCTTCAAGGGAGGGCACAAACAAAATCTTGTACTAATTAACAATTCACATTTTAAAGAAAACCATTAAAATCTCCAGGGCTTCTTATTCCACAGCGGTCAAGTTAGACTGAAAACTGAAATCTAAATGAGGTGCTGTTAAACAGGGGTTTAGGGAACTGTTTGGAAAGCCAGCTCGGCAGTTACGAACTTCAGTTCCACCATTTACTTGTTGTGTGGCCCTGGGTGAGTTACTGAACCTCCCTGTTCCTGGGTTCCACATCTGTAATGGAGATTATGGTGCCTGTCTCATAGTCATGGATGAAGATTCGTGGTTAGTATTATGTACATGGCGCCAAAGTCCGCACAGTATAAATATTCGTTTCATTCACTGAGGTACACTTAAGAGCTCCTGGACTGTCAGGGGGAGGAACATGCACGTTTCTAATGAAAACTTGAAAAAAGGCAAAAAAGGCAAAAAAGGCAAAAAAAAAAAAAAGATGGGTCTGTAGAGCCCACGGGACTGCATCCAACACTAACCACATCCAGGAGAGCCTCTGATGGGGAGGTGAGAGGAGCCTCCACCTTGGCGCATCTAGGAGTCCAAAGCAGGTAGAAGCCCACTCTCCTAAGGAAGGCACAGCTGGGGGAGAGACCCCTTGAGCTTGAAACTGGGGGTGTTCAGGCTTGACAGACACCAGGTTAGCACAGTGAGCACTGTTGCCCTTTGAGAAGTCACTGGTGGCGCTGGCAACGTCGCTCCTTGGCAGAGTACTTGCCTGACCTGAACCAGGTCCCCGGGTTCCACTCCCAGAAAAGTGGAGAAGTTGCTGGTTTTCCCCGTCTGGTTGTTGCTGACCATTATTCCATCTTCACTGGTGGCGATGGGAGGTCTAACAATTTGGCCTTTCCCACTACATTCCCCTCCAAAAGCTCCTTAGTTTGCAAGTCGCCTTGCAACTCAAGAATAGCTTCACCCTAATGAAAAGGCCCCGCCCCTTGTTCAGTGTCAGAGACCCAAGCTGTGCAGATACAGCGCAGTAGTTCCGTGACCCCCTTCCTCCAGCCCTGGCTGGGCCCAGGCACACTAACAAGCCCTGCTCCTGCTGGAAGGCGCCTAGAGTTGACCAGAACACACCACACATTCCCTACTCCCCGAGAACCAGGACTGTTCACAGAAATAAAAAGTAGCTCAGTGCACCGACTTTGAGCTCCAGGCCCGGTTATTCAGCAATTCTCTTCCATGATCACTTCCCTCAAAGAGTCAATATCCCCAGACCCTTCCAACTCTCCCTTTATGCAGAGGATCAGCAGGAACCCTGCCTCCCACTCCAGGGGGACCCTACAGTTCCAGCCTACCTAGGTCTCAGGCACATGGGTCCTCATGTACTTTGCTTAAGGTAAGTCTCATTTTTTAATTTTTTCCCCAAATGCAGACTATTACTTTAGAAGACTTTCATTGAAGTACCTCCCTCCACCACTTCCTCCTGAAGGTGTAGTCAAAGCCCATCTGGCCCATGGTCATGCAGGGTGGTGCTGAAGATAATGGGGCGCCAGCACTGATGGAGGTGTGACAGCTCTCCGAAGAGAGAGGATCAGATGCCCCGCCCCGGCCGCTTTCTGGGCAGGGAAAATACAGGGGAGAAGACGAGAAAGTCCAGGACAAACTCCTCTCCCCACCCCCTTACTTAGGAAAAAGGGGAAGGCAGAGAGAAAAATAGGAACCCACTTG